CCGTGAAGCTCACGCCCTGCACCCGCAACACGTCCCGCGACGCGCGCGCGCGGAAGTAGTCGCTGCGAGCCGCCAGCACTGACTTGTGCGCCCGGAGCCGGCGACCTGACACCTCGATGACCAGGTCCGGCTCTCCGTGTGCGGTCCCGACCCCAGGAGGCACAGGCGCGGGATCCCCGGGTTCTTCCAGGAACTCGAGCTCCCCAAGGAATACGGAGTCCTCAGGGCACGCGCGCTCTCCCGGGCAGGGGACCTCCTCCGGCGACGCGGGATCCTCAGAGCACACGAGGTCCTCCGGGGACACGAGCTCCTCCGGGGATCCAGCGCCCGCACTGCTGACCTCCCACTGTCTTTCCACCACCCGCCGGCCGCTGCGACTCGAGGTCAAGGAGGTAGCTGTGTCCTCAGCAGCGGAGGCGCGAGACTGCGGCGGGGAGTCGTCCCCGGAGCCAAAACACAGGGACGCGCTGAGACTGCAGGGTGTCTGCGCCGGGGACGCAGCGCCCTCCCCCGCGGACGCGTCCGGCAGCTGCAGGCTGCCCCCTCCCGGGGTCCCCCGGGGGGCTCCCCCGGCCCCCCCCCGGAGCCCCGGGAGCGCCTCCCGGGTCCCCGTCCGGTCCGCGCTCCCCATGGGCAAAGGCGCCGCCGGGCTCAGCCCCGTGGACGTGGTCGTCCCCTGGGTAGAGGACGCAGGGGGCCACCGGGTTCTCCATGGGAGGGCTGTGACTGGCTGGAGCCGACCTCTGGCTCAGCAGCTCCACATGTCTGGTCAAGGGCGATTGATCGATTGTTAGCTGGGGTTTGTAGGTTCACAGGCTTTTCCTGGCAAGTGATCAGATTTCACTTCTGTGTCCACACTTTTTTTTTTGCCTCCCAGGCTGCTCCCTTCTCGCCCTCCCCACTCTCCTCTCCTTCGAGAAGGGGCGTGTCCAACTCCCATTGAACTTTTGAACCGTAAAAACTTCAACGTTGGCTATTTGCTCAGATGTTCGTGAATCGGCCCGTGCTGTAATGCTTCAAAGTCTAGGACAGACCTGGAGCTGCGACCGCTGCTTTATTATAATTCTCAGCAGACCTGAGTTTTCAGATGTCAAACCCACCGGAGTATGCCCATCTCTTAGTGAGTCAGTGTTTACCCACTTTATCGCTTACATTCCATCACATCGCCACACCCCAACGAGTGACCAACGGAGACAGGAGACAGGAGACAGGCTGTGGCCCCAACTTTACCACCTCGATCTTCATTCCATTTACTGCAAAAAGCTACCTCATGGGCTTTCCTTCCTCGGGATTCCCATTTGTGATGAAACTGAAGGTGGGCTGCAGGGTATCTGGCCTGTATCCTGGCACCTGCAATGCCCTTGTGTTTGCATCCACACTGTTCAGTTGGGGGAGGCGGATATCCACTTGTCAGGTGGCTGTTAGAAAAACACAACCACTGCACACACGTGAAACAGCCTTCCTCGTCTGTCAATCAGGGGTCATTCTCTGTGACTTTCTTTGTAGGAATATCAGGTGTTTCCATCTCATTTCACCATACTCTTCTTCCTGTTGACAGGAGAGAAAGAGAGCAGATTTGAACCTGCATTTTGTTTTCAGTAAGATTACTCTGTGTCAGTAGAGTCACATCCCAATTTTCAGAACATAGAATTCGGCACTAGAGCTACAGAGAACTGTGGTTTTCACTGCTGGAGAGCGCCCTGTAGAATCAGTTAGATATAAAAGCAGCAGTGCCCTCCCACTAGTCCACTCCTGAGTCTGAGGACTAGGAAGGAGAGCTCAATTCAAGCAATAAATATTGCCAACTATTACGGCCTTAACTGATGTTGAACATGCAAAATTGCTACTTCCGTAGGTCAAAAGCATTCAAATATCACAATTTCATTTTTCTACCCTAATAAAATGCATATATAGAATTCAAGAACTCCTGTTAGTACATAGGCTGTCCTATGTACTTTATTAATTTTACTAACATGTGACAGGTTCGTTTCAGTCTTTTCCAGTGCATGATTCAAATTCAGTCATGACTAATATCTGTAGGAAGTTGTTAAGACACTTGTCTGGAATTACCTTTGGCCAATATGTGTATTATGGACCCCAGAGACTCCAACTTCTAAACCTGTTTGAACTGGTCATTCTTGGAATTACGTCTTTGAAAAACCACACAGAAGCAATTATCCCAAACTGCCTAATGTAGAAAAAGAAAACGAAGCAAAAAGACTCAAGTATTTGAAAGGCAGATCTGACCTACAGATGAATTGTAGGATAATACAATTAAGTATCTTTGCTATGAATGGGCAAAAACTTCATCAAGACTCCCTAATGTACTGGAGGGGACGTAGAGTCTTACAGAAGATATACGGGTAGAGCCAAATTGTTTTCTAGCTTCCTAAATAAAAGGAAGTGGGCCAAGAAAGCATACACAAGGGACCAGCAGTTAGCATAATGGCTATGTCGCTGGACTCTCATGTAGTCGACCACGGTTTGTATCCCAGACCCAGTGGCTTAAAACACATGCCAGGCGTGTGTGCATGCGTGCCCAAGATCCCAAGAGGAGAATGGAGGAGAAGGGACTGCAGCATGGCCATCCTCCATGGGGGGTGATTTCTCACTTTCTGTCTCACTGTCTCTGTCTGGCGAATGCACACACCCTATAGCAAAAAAAAAAAAAAAGCAAACAAAACACAAAATGAGTCAGGCTTATTATTATTATAATGTATCTTAACCTCTCAAGTGAGATAAAACTATACTTATCCAACTTCCCTCGATATCTTTTGGTGTTCTTCTATGTGTTATACCATTATGTGGTCCCCATACAAACTGTATCTCAGGATGGTTTGCCTTACCACTTTCGTACTTATGACAGCACAAAACCAGTATCTGTTCAGTGGAAACTACTTCAAGTACCATTGTTTCTCACGTTCAGCACAGTAGTCAATAAATTGCATGAGCTAGGGCCAGCAGGTGGTATGGTGGTTAATGCACTAGACTCCCTTATGGCAGACTGTGGCTTGAGTCCTGGACCTGGTGGCTTAAAAATCACACCGGCTGTGTGTGCATGTCCGTGCCCAAGGTCCCAAGAGGAGAAGGGAGTGTGGCGTGGCCGTCACCCCTAGGGATGCTTTCTCACTTTCCCTTTTTCTGCCTGAGGCAAGCACACGCTCCCTATACCAAAGACCTTGAAAAAAAATTTAAATAAATCTATTTAACATATCATTATAAGACAGGCTTTGTAGCTGATAGTTTTGACCAACCATAGGCTAATCTAAGGGCCCTGAGTGCGTTTAAGGTAGACTGGGCTCAACCATAATGTTCAGTAGGTGTACTAAATGTACTTTCGACTCATAATAGGTTCATCAGGACGTAAGCTGACCATCCGCAGTGCTTGTGGTTGAGTACATGTATCTGCTTGTCCTGTCACTTTTGTCACAGAATAGGCTTTCCTATTATCCTCAGAAACAAAAGTGTCTTCAGGCTGGAAATTTAAGACATTTCATTCTTTTGCTCCCACCCACAGCCCACCTCTGTCTCTCTCTCCCTCTCTCTGCTGATACTTTTCACAATAATGCCTCGCATGTGCACTTGGAGCAGGAACAGCACTGTCGTAAAACACATGGGAAGTGCAGTGTTCAGAGATCTCATGGGACCAGCTGTTTGCATGGTGGTAAAGATGGCTGAATTCCTCATGTCTGATAGCATGGTTCAAGTCCTGGACCCAGGAGCTGGAAAACATTCCAGTTTTGTATGTACATATGTGCCCAAAATCCAGAAAAGAGGGAGAAATGGAGAAGGGATTGTGGCGTGACCATTCCCCATGGAGGTGCTTCTAGCACTTTTCCTCCCTCTCTCTCCTGTGAGTATACATGTCCTCTGGCAAAACAAACAAACAAACAAAAACAAAAACTTGGAAGTGAAGCTCTGTTCCAGGTGTGTGGGTCCTGAGCAGGACTGGCATCCCAGCTGACTATGAGCATGCCTGTGCTTCCCCTCCTGCTTCCTAGCAGTGTCCTGTCCAGTGCTATGGACGGGAATCCTGGCCAGAGCTATGAGGCTGTGATGGTACCCTGGGCAATCAGCAAAGTCTGCCCAGACCAGGTGCACTGGTATCCCATGAGGACAGCAGAGTGCTTGCCCAACCAGCTGGGTCATCTGGCCAGCATGAGTTCAAAAGTAAGACAAACTTGCTATGGTAGTTGGCAATTTTGTTTTTTGTTTGTTTGCAGTAGGATATGTGATCTCACTGGACAGAGACAGAGAGACAGAGAAAGGGGAAGTGAGCAAACACCCATGAAGAGGGATAGCCACACCGCAATCCTTTCTCCTCCTGGGATCTTGGGCCTGAACACACACATACACACACACAGGCCCAGCATGAGTTTTAAACCACCGGCTCCAGGACTTGAACCACAGTTTACCATGTAGTTCCAGCAATGTGGCCACTACACTGCTTTTTTGCCACCCCACCCCCCTGACAAGTTACTAAACTGGGTCTTTTGGAGGTTTACTTCCAGCAGAGGTGACGGGCTTACAAGATTCCATCGACATTTTCTTACCTGTCCTGGGAAGCCCCCTGTAATCTGGCATGGAATACAGAACAAGTTGGCAGAGTCGGGGATGAAGTCTGAGAGCATGGCACAGAGACACCAGTCCCGCTGTGACTAGTCCACAGGGCATCTCTTTATTTATTTATTTATTTATTTATTTATTAATGTTCTTAATTTGCCATAGGGCACACGCACTCACCAGAGACAAAGACAGAAAGTGAGAAAGCAGGCCACCATGCCACCTGCGACCACTCCTTTGAGATAACCCACTGTATGGCAATTACAGAGTCACCAAGGGCTTGACCATGCATTAGCAAAGCCTTGGCTGGACACAGCAGGGTCGTCAGACCTGCTATGAGGTCTGTGACTGCAGTGTTGAAGGGTAATAAGGCTGAAATTTAAGAGGCCAGAATCTGACCCCAGCTGTCCCTCTGTGGAGGCCACAGGGCAGCATTTCTGGAAGACAGTTCCATGGGCTCCAAGTCTTGGCTCCTTCGGCATCACGCTCACCAGTCTGCATAACACTCTCAAACCCCACATGGGTGAGGAGGGGATTATGCAGAGGGGTCATTTGCTTTTTTCCAAATGGTGTTCAAAGAAACCTCAACATTAGTACTCTGTTTTATTTCCTTCTCCAGAATGACCCATTACTGTGGTTTTACCTTAAAATGGATGGGGAGAGGTCAGCCCACTTTGCATTTAATAGTCCTCTGAGAGAGACAGCAGCTCTGCTGAGATTTGATTTCCCATTGGAGTCCCTGACTTGAAATTGGATTTGAAGTCAGGGACTCCAGTGGAACTTTTTCCCATCTTGTGGTTGGCTCTAGAGTCAGGATGATTCTAAGAGGCTCCCTGAGGAATTTGGACAGGGCACCCACTCTTATTAATGCAAAATCACTGAAATTCTCCACCTGATCTGGCATTTGGAAGGTCCTTTTCCTGAGTGCTATCATTAATTATTTCCCAAACCAGCCTGTGGCAGAGTAGTTAAGGTGGCTGGATCCCACATGGCTAACCACAACGGCTCAAGTCTTGAACCCAGGTGGCTTGAGAAACAAGAAAGGACTGTGGTGTGACCATTCCCCATGGGGGATGCTTTTTCTTTATCTTTCTCTTTATCTTTTTCTCTCCAGAGAGCATATGTGCCCTCTGGCAAAATTAAAGAAAAAAAAAAAAAGTTGTTTCCCCAGCACCACTTTGGAGCATTCCCCATCAGATGATGATGTTGAACAGATCCAGCACAGCATATTCGATGAAAGGTGGTGGGGGAGATGAAAAGAAGCAACAGGTTTCTGTCTTGACTATAGTAATGAAACCATGTAGTAAGAACAAATTTTTCTTTTCTTTTGGTCTTTTGCAGTCAGAGAACTTTATTTTTATTTTTTTAATAGACATGTTTGCTATAGGGCACATGTGCTTGCTGGAGACAGAGAGAGAAAAAGAGAGAAATCAATCCCTGCACCCCCAAGAGGGATGGTCATGTTGTAATCCATTCTCCTCCATTCTCCTCTCAGGATTTTGGGCACATATACACGGTCATGTTGTAATCCATTCTCCTCCATTCTCCTCTCAGGATTCTGGGCACATATGCACATGGGCCTGGCATGAGTTTCAAGCTGCCCAGTTTAGGCTTCTAGCTGTGGTCGGCCATGTGAAGTTCAGTGCCTTAACCACTGCGGTACCTGCTCACCCCTGAACTTTATTTTTAAACCAACTATAAGCATCCAAAGATTAAAGTTCAAAATACAAAAACAAAACAAAAGAGAACGTAAACAGTCACCACTGTCCATGTGCTACTCATGATTGTGATTGAAGAGGAATTCTACTAAATGTCAAACAAGGATGTCTCCCATTTAGAGACAAGTTCAAGGCCTAATTGTTATTACTGTCATTGTCATTGTGATGTTGGTTGTGGGTTTTTCTAGGAGGAACCCCATCTATTACTTTTTTCTTTCTTTCTTTCTTTCTTTCTTTCTTTCTTTCTTTCTTTCTTTCTTTCTTTCT